TATCATGAGCTGGTATGAACATAGCATGACATGAGATTTCATGACATGAGATGGTGAATTTCTCATTGGATTGATCCAGAAGATTCTAGAGTCTTCAAACACATTCTATATATACTTGTGAAGTGATTCAGATCAAGAGTTGGTGAGAATTGAGAAGGATTTGAGAGATTGCATCTTCAACTTTCCCATTGCAAACCAAATTCTATTACACAGTTTCAACCACTTTCAATCCATTCTTTTGATCTCAGAAGCTTGCTATAGCATTGGTGGATGATTACAGATGGATAATTGAGCAAGATTGGTGAAGGATCGTGTGTTTGCACTTGGAATTTTCAACCTGCAACTCAGAATCGGATTCTAAGATTCAAGCCATTTCAATTCATCTTTTTGCATACAGAAGCTTGGTTATGCTCCATTGAAGGAATCTGGAAGCTCTTGAGGATTGATTTGAAGGTTTGAGTGCTCTGTTCAATCGATTTTAACAGGTATGTAAATTTCAATCCATAGCTTGGTATGTGCATGATCTTTAGGTTTTAGGTGGTTAGATCCAATGTAGATGATGGTTAGGAGCTTTATGGTAGCATTAGGGTTGATTTAGAGACAATTAGGGAGATGACATAAATTCTGTTCTTGATCATATCTTGGTGTTCTTGATGATAGAATCTTAGTTTGATAGTTAGAATTGGTCAGGGTGAAATGATGAAGAGTTTAGGCCACTTAATTTTAGGTTTAGTGAGAATTAATTTCTGAGCAATTTCTGAGGATTCAATCGTGAATTGAGTTAGGATGAGTTTCACTGATCATGATTAGCATAGTTAGATTCAGGGTGAAATTTCAAGTGAGTTAGGGTTTTTATTTTTGATTTTTGATGAAGATTTGATGGAACCCGAATTGGAGAAGATGAGATTGAAGCTCTGAGCTTCCATGGTGTTTTCCCTCCAGGAATTATTCAAAGGTTGAAGATAACCTTAGAGCCATTAGATTAGATGAAGAACTTTGACCAAGTGTTAATCCAACGGCCACGAATTCGTTTCCATTTGTGAAGGAGAAGTCTGAACCCTAAACGCACCGTATTACTTAAGTTGCAGCATTGGGCTTAAATGAAATTGATACCAACACCCCACTTCCAAGGCCCAATGAGAAATACACTGAGTTCGCTTGCTATTCGTACTGTGATTTTGTCCATTTTCCTGGGATTTTCATTATTATTTTCTGAAGTGGAATTAGGCCTAGCACGCTTTCCTATTAGCACCCCCCCTCTGGGCCCAGTTGATGATTTGAACTGTTTCTGATTGCTATTCAACACGCTCCCTTTTCATTTTCTTTTTATTTTTCATTACATTTCACATTTATTTTAGGTTCTTTAAAAAATCATAATAAATTGAAAAACCATTATTTTTAGATGGGATTTTTTCCCTCATTTTCATAAAGATCTCAAGAAAATTCTAAAACAATAAAAATAGTATTTCATTCATTTTTCTATTTCTGGTGCATTTTACATTTAATTGCTTTTTATTTTACTTCCATTGTGTATATCTAACTTGCTGAATTTAGTATGATCATTTCATTTCACATTTTGATGCAATTCTTTTTGCTATAGTTAGATTATAGAATTAGGTTCCCCCTGGAATTTTATCACATTTTTGTGATTTAATTTTAGTTAGTTTTGAATAAGGAACTTTAGGGTGATTAGGATTAGGGTTTACCTTGACATAGGTGCATTTCAACACATTGTTTTTGGGTTTTTAGTTTGATTTAGGCCTTGGGGTTTATGTGGGATATAGGGTACATAGTTAGGGTCCCTTAGAAATTAATCTAGAATTTTATGATAAGTATTTCCATTTTATTTGATTTTTGCAACTTGGTTGATATTGGTATGTTTCCCTCTTGGGATATTGTTTGGTTTGTTGGTTTTGGGCCTTTTCTTTGGGTGTTGGGGTTTGTGCTTGGCTTGGTGTGGCTTATGAAGACCTTGGATGATGATTGGAGACAAAGAATGATGATTATTGGAGCTTGAAGTTGCTTGTGCTTGAAGATTGCTTGATGAAGACTTAGGAGATAGGAGACATAGGGAGAGCTTTAGAGTAGACTGATTTCTTCTGTCAAACATAGAGAGCTTCTTGTGCCTCTATTTCATCCTATGACATGAGGTCCCTCAAAGAAGTTCCATCTCTCCTTAGGAGGGATGTAGATCATGCTTTGATTGGGTAGAACCTTGAGGATACCTCTCCCTTGCTATGATAAGATCTTAGTGATTTCCCTAGGTTTTCACTAAGCCTCTTAACATTCCAACTTCCTCTATTAAGTTGATTCTCTCCTGTGAGTGTTTGCATTGAAGTTGAAGATCTATTTAAGATAAGAAGTGCATTGAAGACTATAGAAGATGAAGCTTGTACCTGTCAAAGCTGAGTATCTGTTGAATTAGGGTTTTGCTGCTGTCTGAAGCTGTTTGCTTGTTGGGATTCAGTGCTTGCTAAAGCTGAAGATTATTGGAGATAAGAGCCTATCTGAAGCTTGAATATCATTATAAAGTGAAGATGGGATCTTTCTTGAAGTTGTCACTGTCAACCTTTTGTTGTTAGTCAATCGTAGCTGTCGGAGCTGGTGTTGTTTGAACTACTTGCTGTAGGAGTTGGTGTTGTTGTCAGAGCTGGTGTTGGGTTTTATTTTCTTTTCCTGTATTGTTTGTTGATTTTTCCCTTAGGTTTGAAGTGAAGCTGTTTCACTTTGCCTATTGTTTTCCCAGGTTCGAGGTTGAGTAGGACTCCCTTGCCTCGCTTGTTCTGCTGCATCTCTTGCATACTTACTGTTTACTGTATATATGCTGTTTCTTTTCCGTTTATCCCCTAGGATCTCTGTTTCTCTCTGTGCAAGAGAGAAATATGACAGACATTAGGTTTTTATCCATGCATGACAACATTAGGGTAGTTTGATTCCCATTTCAAACCTTAGGTTTTTAGAGTTCTTTCTCTTCTCAAAACAATTCAAAACACAGTAATAAGGATAATCGATGTCGTACGCTACGAGCCTTAAGCTATTTGAGAAAGGTTGTTGGAGGGTCACTCTTCAGTAATCTGATTACCTAGTGTATTACCCTTAGGGTGACATACGACGTAGTCACTCTCAAATCATAGTCTCTAGTGCGTCAGAGATTGCAAACATCATAAAAAACAGTTCTTGCGTAAAAGACTGAAAACAAACATCAAATTGTCATTTTTGTCTGCTTGGACTCTTAATCAGGAAAAACCCTTTCATAAGGAGATAAAAACAGTCATAAAAACTTGTGTCTTCCGTAGCCCGAACTACGTTTGCTCTGATCTTTCATGTTGTATGAAAGTACGTAGGCATAGGATGCGATATCCTAGCGAGCAACCTTCCCCTCCTTTCCCGTAGGTAGGCGAACTACGTTGACTCTGATTTCTCGTTCCAGACGGGAATACGTAGGCATAAAGTGAGATACTTTTCCGAGTTACTTTCTTTTCTTTTAACCTCATACCTTTAGTTTAGATAGAATAGCAATCCGTACCAGAAAACAAGCGTGGATCCCGTCGAGTACGACGGACGTGAGGGGTGCTAATATCTTCCCCTCGCGTAACCGACTCCCGAATCCAGGATTTGGTTGCGATGACCATTCCTTTCCCGTCTTTGCGGTAGGTTTACTTTGAGCGTTTCCTTTCCCTCCTTCGGGATAAATAACGCACGGTGGCGACTCTTCTGTTCAGCCGGCGCCGATTTTCGCAGTAGCGACACCAATCACAATAAAATAGGACAACTTTATTTTCCGAGTCCATATAATTATATACCAACTCATAAATATGTGTGATAACACCATAAAATTCATCCTCACCACCCTCTGTAACTTCTTTTACAACTACACCAATGTTTATTATTTTCTTCCCTACTGTCCATATTTGAGTGTGAAATTTATATTCGTTTACAAAGTATGTGTGCCATTCATTTACACGCTGATGAGGGCCTTCAGATAAATTTCTTAAATGAATTATTTCAGGACTTTGTGCAACAATGCAATGTAATTGTTGCTTGAACCATGCAGGAAAATAGGCATGTGTGTAACCCGTCGATGGTTGTTCACCCGTGCTTTGAAAATAATAGGTATTAAATGCCCTATTTCGAAGAAGAAAAAATCTATGTTAAACTGACAAGTATATTTAACAAAAAAAGAATACAAACTTAATTTAATATACTTACTCAAGATATGGTTTAACTTCAACGCAGTTAATCAACACATGAACATAAGCATATTGCATTTCTTTTTTAGACAACCAATGCACACTCGTCTTTCCAGAAGGACGGCCGAGACGACCAAAAATCGATAAGGTGAATTGACTTATTTCACTAAAGTGAACTTCATTCCTTATAATTCTCGGAGTCAGCATCATATGATTGAAATAATGAGAGCAAAAATGTGAAGTTTCTCGATGCTAATAATGTGCACATATTGATCCCTTAACTCTTGCCTTATTTTTCACTGATCTCTTTGAATCACCCATGAATCATTCAAATGGATACACCCATCTAAATTGAACAAGTCCACCAAGGTAAGCTTCGTAAGTAAGATGCACAGGGAGATGCTCTATAGAATCAAAGAAACCTAGGGGAAATATTGGCTCTAACTTGCAGAAAATGATGGGAATATTTTGGTCCAAGTTAAAGATGTCATCCACTCGTAAAGTTAATGCACTAATGTATTTAAAAAATTAACTAATCTCAATTAGTGGATTAAGAACATGCTTAGGAAGTGAACTGAATGCAATTGGAAGCAATCGTTCCATGAAAACATGACAATCATGACTTTTCATTCCATGTAGCTTTCCTGTTTTTGCATCAGCATATCTTGTTAAGTTAGAAGATTAACCATTGGGCATCCTCAACTCATTTAACCATCGGCAGACTGCTTTTGCTTCTTGGGGAGTAAGAGTGTAATAAGCCTTGGCTTTTAATAATTTTCCATTTGGTTGAGGTTTTAACTCAAAGTCTTTTCAATTACACAAAAGTTCCAAGTCCTTTCTAGCCTTCTCATTATCTTTTTTCTTGCCTTGGGCATCCATCACTGTGTTAAATACATTATCAAAAAATTCTTCTCAATATGCATAACATCAAGATTATGTCGCAACAAATTATCCTTCCAATATGGGAGGTCCCAAAAAATACTTCTTTTTGTCCAACTGTGAGTATCCCCGTATCCTGGAATTCTGCATGTTTTACCATTATCTATGAATTTTGGCAGGTCACTAAAACTATTCCATGAACTTTTACCACCCATTTGCAAAGTAAACGCTTTTGTGTGTCCCATGCAATGCGGACGTCCCATTTTTCCATGCGTACCCCAACCAGAAAACATGCCATATACAAGAAAGTTATTAATTGTCCACATCAAAGCAGCTCGCATATTAAAGTTTTATCTGCGAGACACATCATAAGTACATTCTCCAATCTACAAACTCTTCAAATCATCAATTAAAGGTTGCAAATAAACATTTATTCCCGCTTTTGGACTCGACGGTCCTGGAATGAGGCATGTCAAAAACATGTAAGGTTTCGTCATGCACATCTCAGGAGGGATATTGTACGGGGTAACAATAACTGGCCAACAAGAATAGGCAATTGCTGACGATTGGATATAAGGACTAAAACCATTTGAGCATAATCTGAGCATGACATTTCTGGGTTCTACTATAAAATCTATATGTACTCTATCAAAGTGTTTCCATGCCTCGCCATCAGATGGATGTCACATCATGCCTAAACTATTGGAATTTGTATGATGCCATGTCATTTGGCTTACACTATTGATTGACGCAAACATCCTTTGAAATCTAGGAATTATTAGCAGATAGAACATGAACTTCACTGCAACTCATTTTTGTTTTTGATCAACACCTTTGTTGCGAGCTAAATACCTCGGACTCTGACAAAACTTACATTCCTCTAATCCCCCATCATTTGTATCAAACTCGTTATCATAAAACAACATACAACCTCCAATGCAACAATCAATCTTTTTCACTTTTAGTCTCAACTTCGACACCATTCTCTTTCATCATAATAACTTGTAGGTATGTTTTCTTTCACAGGAGTCGCATCCAACATCATTATTGCAAAGAATTCTAAACACTGATCAGGAACATTCCAATTTGACTTTGCAGCCAAGAGTCTCACACACATGGATAACATGGAAACAAAATATATTTATACTGTTTTTTACATTTTTTTCTAACAAATATATAAAACTATTATAATATAAATCTGAAAAATATAAGAAATAAAAATAATATTTAAAAAAATAATTTATTAAAAATGTATACATAAATTTTGAAATAAAAAATAATATATTTTTTATTATACCAGCATCAAACCAAAATCAACATATAATTTGTAGCTTGAGAAAAAAAATATGTAACTTTTGATGCTCCCTTAAATTTGTAGCTCCTTTAGGTAAAATTTGAGAGCTTTATTAATAGTATACATACAACAAAGCAAATAAATAAAAAAATATTAATTAATAAATTTAAGAAATAAAATTAATTATAAAATACAAAGATAATATAACATAACAGAAATATTTACCTAGTATCAGCACACGATTATATTCTTCTATATATCAAAAATAAAAATTTGATGGTATGGAATGAGAAGAAAAATGGTGGACGGTAAAAGATAGAAAAAGAATAATGGTGGAAGATAAAGGAGAAGAAGAAAGGGTGAGTGAAGTTAATGTAGATTGATATTATTATATCAGTGAGAATTTGAAGTGGGTTTTTAATGCATGCATTTGCGAGGGGTGTCCCACGCCAACACAACGGTCACATTGACGTGTCAAATGACTGTCTGCATGTGTGGCACGTGAACACAAATTGCGACGAGGTACTCCACGCTGGCTACGAAATTTGATTTTGCGATGGGCTATCCCTAGCCAGCGTTAACGTGTTGCAGCCTCTTTACTGTCATGTGGTAACAGAATAAATGCTTTTACAGTTGGGTTTGACTAAAGTATCTCAACTGGTGAGGGGGGGCCCTCGCAAATTGCACATCATATACTGGTGAGGGGTTGACCCCTTGCAAATTGCCTCAATTCCCACCCAATTTTCCCGCTGACCCCTAGTAAAACCTTGTTTCAAATTTCAAAATATTTTCCCTCCTTGTTTGCGAGGGGTATCCCCTAGGAAGTGTTTTTTTTTTCTATTTTGTGGTTTGCGAGGGGTTTAACCCCAAGCAACGTGGTTTTTTTAGTGAGGGGTTTTCCCCTAACCCATGCCCCTAGCTAATATCATATTTTCTTGTAGTGTCAAATCACCTATCCGGAAACGAGCAATGGCTGGTTGATTTTGACTTTGGCTAGAGGACCAAGATTAGATGTGCTGATGATGAGTATCACAATGCTAAAGGAATGGGAAATGTCAAAGTTAAGTTGAACAATGGCAAAAATGTACTGATAAAGGATATATGGTATGTTATTGGCATGAGTACCAATCTTATGAGTGTAGGTCCACTACAAGAAACATTGCATTTTCCCAAGTGATTTTTACGTCACTAACCCAAAAATCACTTCACTGATCAACTTTTGCGACGTGGGTAAAACACGCCGGAAATACAATGGTGGAAATATTTTCCCATGTGGAAAACAGGTCACAAAGTTGTGACATAGATCACACATCACAAATAACAAAAATAAGAGAAAAAGTTCCCACGTGAAAACCAAGTCACTAATTAGTGACGTGATATTCACGTGGGAACCTACCTTTACCAATTTTGTCTGCACGCCCATCTGACACCAATTGAATTTGTTTCCCATGTGATTCCCACATCACTAATTTGTGACTTGGTTTTCACGTGGGAATCCACGGGCTTTGCAAGTTAATTCTAGCACTAATTACATTGTTTCCCATGTGATTCTCACGTCACTAATTAGTGACGTGATATACATACCACAATGAAAATATATTTTATATTAGTGACATTGTTTGCACTTCACTATAAAATTTAATAATAAAAAAAATATATATTAACTGAAAACAAATATAAAATTAAAATAAATATTAAATATTAACTATAAACTTTAAAAAATTAAAATAATATACATTAAAAAAATATAAATATTTAGTCACATGAAATTCACGTCACAAATATAAAAAATAATAAAAAAAGTTGTCACGTAATATTCACGTCACAAATATAAACAATAATAAAAAAAGTTATTCTTCGTCGGTGAATTGTGCATCTTCGTCTTCTTCATCATCTTGGACAGAATAATTCGATCTCGAGGCAAAAAAAATTCGCATTTGTGCCTCCATGTCTGATTGCCGCTTCCCCATTTCCTCTATTTCAGCATTTTGTCTATTTCTCATATTCTCCATTTCGGCCTTTAAGGCCGCCTCACGTGCCTCCGCCTCTCGTCTCGCCTCAGATAGAGCTAACTATCTCACTGTTGCCAACATTTCTGGTGTCAATTCTGCCGGACGAGATCCTCCTTTCCCATCATCGAGTCTTTGAAATAAAGTTCGGCCCCCTTTTCTATAATCGCCAGCCAAAGACCCCAGACCAAAAAAACATCCATTGACTCCCTTCCCGCCTACTGTTAAATTCCAAATATAAAGATCCACGCGTGGATCAAGCGGTGCATTCTCAATCGGCACATATTGAGGATTTTCAGTTAGAAATTGGGCAAGCAAGGTCTGGTACATCTCCTACACACACATTAAAAAAAATAAATTAAATTAAATTAAATATAATTTAAACAATTTAATTATATACAGTAATTATGAAATTAAAAGAATTCAACTATAATAAACAAGTTACCAAGGTTGATTTGGAACAGCCGTCAACAAACTCCCCCGATTTTTTGGTTCGGGTCTTCACAAATAGCTCATTAATTCGTGGCTCCCTCCCCAAATCCTTTTTCTAATTAAAATAATGAAGTTTAATTAAATATATAATAATACAAAATAAAACTTAAAAAAATAGTTATAATTACCATTCGTCGACGATGTTCTCCGATACTGATACTTCCAACTGTACTAAGACAACCACCTGCTTCAGATGCCCTCATCTTTTTAGCATGTTCAGATCTTCTCTGAAAATCTTCTGTCTTCCACCACTCAATAAGTTCCCTAAATATTTCCTCGCCTATCCAGTTAGGAAGAGTTTGATCTCTGTCCCAATGTTGTCTAGCATTCCTGAGCATGTCAGATAATCTGCTAGATACCTTACTTCTGGAAAAAAAATTAATTTTGAACTCGTCAAATTTTTGCCAAGTACATCTTTCCTGTAAGTTATATGACAGTAAAATAAAATGTTAGATATATATAACAAAAAATAGTTATAAAATAACAATATAACTATAATAAAAATACAATTTACCTTGAATTTATCAAACCATATATCTTTCTCAGTATCTGGGAGCTCTCCGAAAGACTTAATGAGTTTGGAAAAAATAGATCACTTGAATGACCCAGTTTACAGCTTTTGCAGCAGGCCGACACGGATCAAAACTAAACAACAATAATTTGAACGAGTATTAAACATAAAATGGCAATATATAACTAAATAAATATTATAAATTAAAAACATACCCAGATCCCTCAGGCCTAATCAGACGTCGTCCTTCAACCACCAAAAGCTCTTCTGCAGCAGGATTTTTTTGCTCCTCATGAACATCGTCATCCTCCTGAATAGTGTGGTCATCCTGCTGCTGACGCGTAGGTATATGTGTGGGGTGTGGAATGCGGGAGCCAGATCCCTCTGGCTGGTGCGTGGAGGGAGTCGGCTGAGGAAAACTAGATCCTGAAGGCTGCGGCATAAAGGAATACTACTGAGGAAAAACAGATCCCCTATGCTGTGTGAAGGAATAATGCTGAGGAAGAAAACTAGCTCCCCCAGGAAAACTAGATCCCCCAAACTGCTGTGTAAACGTAGATGGTACATGGGGAAAACTAGATCCCTCAGACTACTGCGTAAACGTAGATGGATGCATGAAGGATCCCCCAAACGGACTAATAAACGATGGATTCCCAGATGGAACTATTTGGGAGGAGGAGAGTAATGTCGTAAATGGATGTGAAGTGTCTACGGACATTAGATCTACCTGAGTCTGTGGGCGAGAAGCATACATGGGCGAGGGCGGTACCTCACGTACTCTGGCTCTCGAATGGGGTTGGGTCTCCTTAGCCTTACCCTTGTCAGTTCGGGGTGGCATTGTATCTATTTTAAAAGAGTTTTCAATAAATAAATAATACGTAAATAAATCAAGATTATTAAAAATTGTTCGAACACATATAAAAATTATCTATTCAAACTCTTCATGCTCTTCGTCCATATTATTTTCATCATCTGATCCAATAATTTCTTCACTGTGTTAAATATATTATCAAAGAAATTCTTTTCAATGTGCAT